CCCCGCTCGCGGCGCGTCGTCCGGGGGACGCAGCGGCCGCCGCGCCCCGCGAGCCGCGCCGGTCTCAAAGGGTGCCTACGGCGCCGGCGCATGCAGCGGCGCTGTGCTAACGCCGCCGGCGCAGCCGGCCATGCGGCCGCTCCTCGCTGCCCCGCGCATGGTGTATCTCGGTAAGGAGCCGCCGCTGCGCCGCCGGGCCTCTAAACACAGGTCCCACTGCCCACATCCGCATCAACGCACAGGAACGTTGTCGACACTGTTTGCCTCGGCCAATGGGCGGGCACGGCCGAGCTGGCGGCGATGGGGCCGGCGTGCATCATCTTCGCCTTTGCGCAGGTGGGCGGCAGCTTGGCAGCCGACGCACCGTGTGATGCAGGCGCCGGCGCGGGCCCCCGCTGCGGGGGGCCGGCGGGTGCGCCGCAGGCCCGGGCACGGGGCAGGGGCGAGAAGGGCAGGTGGCGGGGGACGATCGCAGGGCCTGTACTCGGGGCGGGGGCGTGCGAGGGCCAGGGAGCAGTCGTGCGCACGGCATGCACCATCAGCAGGTGGGCTGCGGTCGGGCGGCGTCAGCAGGCGCAGCCGTAGAGGTATGGGTTGGCCTTGCACTGCCTTTGGGCGTCGCCCCCTCCGACAGCCGCGCCCACAAGGGCACTCTCACCCCCTTGCTTGCCGCGCCCCGCAGTACGTGTTCCAAGCGCTTCAAATATCGACAGTCACGTGAGCAGCCGCGGCAGGGCCGCCCCCAAACAGCCACGCGCCCTCCTCCCCCCCCCTCGCACCCCTCACCTTGCTCCTGCCGCGCTCTGGGGTGTGCCCGACACGGATCCGAGGCTCGCTTCACCTCGGCCCCCGCCGGTACACCCCTCTCCTGTGAGTTTTGAATCCACCGCCCGACCCATGTCAACACACAATTTTTTGCTGTGACTCAGACGATCTGCAAATATCGAATAAATGCAATGTCCCGCAGGCTGATCAGCGAGGATTTGCGGCTTGGAGAGCGAGAAAAGGCGCAGCGGACGCTTGCGTGCGCGCTAACCATCGCCGTGGCGGCGGGCGCGGTCGTGGCCGTCCTGTTGGAGGTGGGGCAGGCGCTGGGGTTTGGCGGTTTTCGGGGGTTGGGGCTCGGGCATTCGAATGGAGGCGTGCGGGATGCTCTGTTGTGTTGCAATTTCAAAGCCTTGGTCGCAGTCTTGTTGATTACGCGGGCAGCTTTGGCTGCATGCCGTACTTTTTGAACACCTTTTGGCGGCATGGCCGGGTGTGCAAGCGCGAACGGCGGAGCTGCCCCTCGGACCGCTGGGTGCGGCAAAGCTGGCCGCCTTCAACCCGTCGGCACGCCCGTCCCGAACCGCGCGTTCCTTTGAACGCGCGCGCCCCGCTCCGCGCCCTCAACCCTTGAGCCATATCCTGCACCTTACTCCCTCCCTTGTCTCATCCGGCAGCTGTTTGCTGGGGCGTTGTTAGCGGCCACCGGGGCCAACCCCGCGCTGACCGGCCCGGCGGGTGACTACATGCGGATCCGCGCAGTGGCGCAGCCCGCGGTACTGGCCACCATGGTGCTGCAGGTGCGCTTGGATGGATGGGATAGGCTTGTGACAGCGCCCCGCGGTTGCCGGCTTCTGGAGCCATCCAGGCTCGTGGGATCACATTTTTTGCACCGGCATGCAGGGTTGACGCCACACAAACAGACCTTTGGGCAGAGCCACGCGTTTCGGCACCAACCGCGGGCCCAAACAGCCGCGCTTTGGCGGGGGTCTGACAGCTGCTGCTGCAGCTCATGCTGCTGCAGCCGGACCAAGCGGCTGGCCGGTGTGGCTCTGTTGCTAGCAGCCTGGTCCCAGCTCTTTGGATACTCAGTCCGATGCTGTCACGCCCAGCCAGCACCCCTGGGCAATGGGCGCCCGGACTGGTCACAGCTGTCACGGCACAGCTGGTGCATGCACGCCACATCGTCCTCCCACGGCCGCGCTGTGCTGCCTCAATCGACCTCAAACGACCAAACCCACCCCGCACAGGCCGCCCTGCTGGCCCAGCAGGACAGCGTCACCCCGGCCGTCACCACGACCGTCGCTGTGACCGTGTCACTCCTGGGTAACCTCGTCGCCGTCGGCGCCCTGGGCTTGGGCATCATCGGCGCCGCGGCGACGACGGTCGCGACGCAGCTGGTGGGCGTCGCGGCGCTGGTGTGGTTCAGCGCGACAAAGGCGGGGCGGCTGCGGCCGGCGCTGATGGTACCAACCCTTGGTAAGCGCGCACCGCCGGCATAGTGACTGTGATCAATAGCGACGGCTCCCTGCTTGTTTGCTGCTCGCCAGACCTGGTTGTGGTTTGGCCCCCTTGGTCGCCTGCACAGCCGCCGTCCGCACGTCCCAGCCCCTGGCCCCTCCTGCTGGCTCATCTCCGCGACACAAGGGCAACCCCTCAACCAACCCCTGGACCTCTGTGGTTTCGTCGGCCCTGAAACATTCATCAACCCCTCCTGCACACCCTCTACTCGCATTGACCCTGGGAAAACCCAACAACCCCTCCCGCACACCCTCTCCTTGCGTCAAATTGTGGGAAGTTTAACAACCCCCGCCTGCACATCCCGCCCCAGAGGACCTGGTCAGCTTTGCGCGCACTATGGGGCCGCTGGCTGTGGCCTACGTCTGCAAGAACTGCTGCTACCTCGTACTACAGACGGCCGCGGCCGGCCTCGACACAATACGGCTCGCGGCCCACCAGGCGCGCTGGGCCGGGCGTGGGGCATGCGGCCATGGGGGCATGGGGGCAACGCACGTTCGACCGTTTGACCTTTGTCAAAGCACAAACTTTGCACTCCGCCCCTTTGTTCCCACACTTTCAACCCTGAATTTTTTCCAAATTTTATTATCAAAAGATCCAAACCCTGTCACGGTCTGGCTGTGTCGGCGGCCGCCCGCGGCGGGCGGGGTGGTGCAGTCGCGCATTCACCAGGGCGCTGCACGAGCCGGCATCTATGGACGTTGCAGCAGCCTCCCTGATTCTGCTCACCTGTTCATCTATCGCTTGAACCCCTGCCGCCCGCGTCGCCCAACCCACGCACCCCCATCACAGGCCGTCTTTAGCTATTGGAACCTGCTGGCATTCACCACGGCCCCCCTGGAGCAGATATCCCTCGCCTTCGTCCCCGCAGGTTCGGCACTCGCAAGGACCCGGCCGCGCCCGCCCTCGCGCCCTCCGCGACCCCCTTTTATGCCTCGAGCAGCCCAGCCAGCCGCGCAGTGGTTTGCACACGCGTCACCGTGTGCCGGCTGCAGCGCAAGAGCACCACCGTGGCCACAGCCATCATATGCTGCCCCCCTCACAACGTTCGTGTGCCCGCCCCCCAGTGCGCTCCATCTCACCCGCCCGCCCGCCCGCCCCCGCAGCCGCGCCCGGCTGGCAGCGCCGCAGCACCGCGGCGATGGTCCTGGGGCTTGGCGCCGCCGTCGGCCTCTCGGCCGGCGTCCTGGCCGCCGCGCTGCCGCTCGGGGCGCCGCAGCTGCTGACGCGGGACGCGCTCGTGTGGCCCCACATGGCGTCGGTGGCGGGGCTCATGATCACCGCCATGTTCCTCACGGCTGCCGACGTGGCGTCCACCGGCGTGCTGCTCGCCTGCAGGTGGGGCCCCTTCACGGGGGTTGAGTGCAGCATGGGTCGGAAGCGTCATGCGTCCCCCTTTCCTTGGCACAGTTGCTCATTTTTGTTTGGCCGCGCGTGGTGATGCGTGCGCGCAAAGCCGCGGCAGCGGGACCTTCGAGGCGGGGAGGAGGGGGCTGTGGATGTGTATGTATTCGTGTGTTTGGAGGAAAGATGTATCCGGCTGCATCCGCGAGGTTTGCTGGCGCCACCTGCCAGCCCCTTGGCGCGTGCCTTCATCCGGGGTCCCTCTGCCCTGGCAGCCACCGCTGCTGCCAAAACGGAAGCACGGGCGCACACCCCGCCGGCGCTGCGACACCGGGACGCTCTCCGGCTGGCCGCCAAACCGCCTGCATACACCACATCCTTCGACCCAGACGATCTGAGATCACCATCACCTCGTTCCCCGCACCCCAGGGACCTGCGATACGTGGCTCAGGCGTTCCTGCTCACTCTGGCGGGCCTCGGCGCCTTCATGGGCGCGCAGCCGCTGCCCCGGACGCTCGACAACATCTGGCACGGCCTCGTGTTCTTCTTCGGCGCGCGGCTGGTGCAGAGCGCCGCGCGGCTCGGGTGGCTCTGGCGCGCCGGGCGGCTGGACGCGCGGGCAGAGGGGGAGAGCTCGCGGGAGGAGGAGGACGAGGAGGAGGAGGGTGTGCATGCAGAGACGGGGGTCGCCGAGGCGAACGGCGCGGCTGTGGTGGGCCTCGGCGGCACGCACAAGCAGGAGCAGCAGCAGGAGCAGCAGCAGGAGCAGCAGCAGCCGCAGCAGCAGCAGCAGGAGCAGCAGCGGCAGGGGCGGCGGCGGGGGCCCACCAGCCCGGATCCCTCAGGGGGTCAACTGGAGGTGGTGCCATGACCAGCGGATGCACCCACTGTGTAACAATTCGATTTCGTGTTTGCATGAGAAATGAGGAAGGGCCGCCAGATGGCGGGACTCTGGCGATGGTGGACTGCAGTCCCAACTGTGAGTTGCTGGACTGGTGACTTTGTACTGCTGCCGAGTCGGGCAGCCGACAGGGTCGCGCCGGCCGCTGCAGGGGGGGGGGTGTGGGGAGG